TGATGGAAATAGCTTTGTGCCCCAGAAGACAGTTGATATGTATTAATTGAGTGATAGAGTGGGTCATGTTAAATCACTGAGCAGGAAGAAGTGTTTTTTAAATGTTACTTGCCATTTTGTAGCCTCTTTGTGCTTCAGGAGTGCTTGCTGTGATTCCAGGTTATTTTTCTGCTGTGGGATCACGAAGCGGTAGATGATATGATATCCCTTTTCTGTTACTGAGACAGCCAATAAACATCCTAATCTCACTTGCTACGCTGAAGAGTAGATTTACAGCTGTGTGGTGAGCATAAAACAAATGATTGGAGGATTCAAAGGCAGACTCCTGCAGCAGACAAATGTACGTAGTAGCAAAACTTGATTTATTTTTTTTTTTGTGTTTTGAAATTGGCTGACTTGATTAATACGGCCTGATGTATGCCAAGCTGTTCAGCATAAACTCAGCCGTATTTCCCCTTCCCCCCATCTCCTCTTCTCATCCTTCATTTGTTTCTGAATGGCTTCTTACATAAAGCAGTAACAGCAAAGAATTCATGGTAAAAAATGTCCTCTGTAAATATATTTTTTTTTTCCTTGTGTTTCCTTGCACATTCTGCAAGTCTCCTGATTACAGACTTGGCCTTCACGTAGAATAAAGGTCTTGGATCCAAGAAAGGTGACAGTGTCCACAGTCCAGTAGTGCTGTGGCCTCTACACCCATCTGCCTCCCTGCTTCCCTTGTGGGGCGGGTGGGGAGGACATTGGGAGTTGGTCCATGGCCGGGCCAGGCAGAGGTTTATGCTGGGTCTGGTGTCTGTGGTCGATCCGTCAGTCTGTTTCTGAATTGAAAAAACATGTGTTTGAGCCTTGGAGCAAGGGTGGAGTAAAACCCTCTTTCTGCCCTGTTTAAGGACAAGTGATGCTTCTCAATGAGAGCTCAGCCTCGTCCTTAAACCCAGTGCCATACGTTAGGTGGTTTTCTTCAGCCTCTCAAAGCTTAGAGACGATTTTGTGAGCATGATTTAATGGAGCCTAGTCAAGCATGATTTAATGGGACATAAAATGCCTCTTACTCTGATATCCCATTGATCTAAATGAGAGACAAAACTGTAAGGTATCTGTTTCTTTTTGCTATTGATTCACGATATTTTGATATAAATCCTGCAAGCAGGTGCCAGCCTACATTTAACTGGAGTGAGCAGGATTTAGTGGGGAAAATGTAACTGTGTGACCTGTGCTAATTACTTTACGGGTGTTGGCAGGTCAGTAGTGCGCTGTGCTGTACCAGTCAAGTGTTTCTCATCTAGCCAAGAGGGGATTGTGAGGGATAAACTGCAACCTGCTTCAGTTTTCTCCAGTCAGGCCAAGTATTGTCTTTTTGTAAACTGTCACACTGCAAAGTTTGAGACAGCTTTTTGGTAATGATGGAAAACTGAAAGTGGGCAAATTTAAATTTAAAATTAGGTGCTGGTCTTTAACCCTGGGGATAACTAATCACTGGCACCAACAGGAATGTATTGTGGTGGTCTCTCTATTTTATTTAAATTTAAAAGTTTTCACATGTATGGAGTGTTCCCTTGAAAATCCAACTTACTGGACCGAGACTTGCTTGTGGGCAGACCACATACAGTGTGAGCTGAGTGTTAGAAATAAAACCTGAGATTCTCCTCCTAGAAGTTGTTAGGAGCTGCTGCAAAGGTTTTCCAGCCTATGTAAGAAATGAATTTGCTTTGGTGTTAATTCAGGTTCTAGAAAAGCTTTTCAAAAATCTCAGCACAACATGTTTATTCCTAAAGCTTCTTGTCTTCCGTGTGCGGCTCAGCCTCGAGCTCCCCTGAGAACCTTCTCGAATATCACATTTATCTCATTAATTGCTAATCCCCAAAGAAACCAGCCCACAGTCTGAGTTGAGGACTACAGCTGTGCTAGAATCCAGCTCTGGTTCTGTGTGTCTCCTTTTGGATAATTAGTGAGACTCGAATCCTGAATTTAGAAGTGTTTTGGCCCGAGATCTGAATTTTGAAGGTACCATCTGGCAAGAAGCCAAATGCTTTCTCGCTTGAGGGCAGTAACTATAGGCAGAGGGGGAAGACGTGTCTCAGGTGTGGTTTGATAGCCCGTGCGTTGCCTGGGACTCGTCCCCGAGCCCCTTGTCATTGCTCCTGTTGGGACCTGGGGTTGGTGCTGGCTGTTCTGTGCCGTTCTTCTGGGTTGCCCTTGAAACACTGAAGGCAGCAGAAGTTTTCACATCGTGTGTTTTCCCACCTTATGCAGAAAATGCAGCCCCTTAGGGTTGAAAAGATGATGTGCTTTGGGGTATGGGAGGGTGGAGGTGGAGGATAGAGCTCTGTAAGTTGGAGCGATGGCAGCCCGGCAGCCTCGCCTGCCCGCTGCTGGCAGGAGCCAGCTGGGTCCTGACCCGCTGTGAGACTGTAAATCCTCCCTGAACTGCTGTCTGAAATGTTTCTAGGAGTAAAACAGTCAAACCTCTGTGCCTCTGCCTGTAAATGGTCTGAACGATAAGGCTGAACCACAGAGTCCTGATCAGTCTTTCTTCTATTTAAAATGCTTAGAAGAAAAAAACCAAACCACCCGACAACCAAAACCCCACCACTTCCCATCTCGCATACTCGTTATTCTTGCTGTTTCTAACAAGTTCTCCACCGGCCCTTCTAATTACATTTGAGTTCAAGCATTTATTTTTTTTTTCCTTTTTTCCCCTCCCGGCCCCAGGAGAGCCCAGGAGCACCAGGGGTTTTCCTGCACACACGCATGACGATTTGCTGACACGTCAGCTTGTCCATAACGAACAGCCGTGGTGGAGCCCAGAGGGCTGAAGTCCCATAGCACGTGGCTGAGGGCGCAGAGCATCGCTCAACCCAGCTGCTTTTTGTGCCAGCAACTGAAAAAGGCCTGTGTGAGGAAGACTGACAATGTTGTTGTTAATTTGGTTTTAAATTGCTTCCTTCCCCGCTCCTGTGGTTGCAACCAAAGCCACCGGAGAGCATGGTTCGGTGTTTATGCAAAGCCTTTGCCTCCCTTCTGCCTGCCTTTGGAGCGTTGCAGCTTTGTGTGTATGAACAATGTGGGTATTTGACATGCCCACTCCTTCCCCGGAATTATCTCTTCTCCCTGTATCTTTGTTTGCCTGTCCTCAGCAATCGTGGAAGGAGAGCCATGATAAGAGTGGTGCAGGGCGAATGCGAATGAGCAGGAGATGAACCTCAAAGGGCTCGGTTTGGATTTTCCTCCAAACCTCTTTGATCACAAACTGAGCTCTTTATCCCCTCGAAGCGTGCCCCAGGGGAAGGCTGCCCAGAGGTGTGCAATGATTAAAAGGAAATACTCTTGCTCCTGTGACCACCTTCTCTTCAGTTTAGCAGGTATCAACGTATATCAAAAGCAGGTTTTTAATCCTGGAGTCAGTTTAGTTTGACTTTTGTGGCAGGATTTCACGGTCAGTTGTCACTTTGCCCCATCACGACTGTTCATTCATTTTAAAGAGAGATCTTCCCTTTGGAAGATCCTTTCCAGCATTCAGTATGTTTCCTTTTGTAGAGAGCTTGCCTTGCTTTAGGGTAGGCAATAGTTAAATCAAGAAATACAACCTTGTTTTTATCCAGCATACTTGTTTATGTAAAGAGGCTTCATAAAGAACTGTGTTTCTGTGAAAATCTTTGTCTCCCAAGTCTCATTCTGGAGTCTGAAGAATGCCTGCTGTTGCCTAAGAAACACCCAGTACAGTTAAATACAGAGTCATTGTTGGGGAGTCAATGAGCTTGAAGCGACGCTGGGATGTTGTTCCTGGGTTTGGTCTTTCTTTGCTTATCTGGGCAGGATTTACTTGGTAAACGCTCATTGTAAGTCTGCGAACACTGCTAATGTTGCGTGTCTAATCTGTCATGAATGCGGAGAGGGAGCGGGGAGGCTTGTTTTCTTCTTCTTCCCTCACACGTATCTATTGTAGGGCA